GATTCCAGGCCTCTGCCTCCCTCGGAGATGCTGAGAAAGGGCTGCCGGGGAGGGGAAGTGGCCTTCTGCTTTAGAATGATCTTCTAATTGTGGGAACGGTACGAGAATGGGTGCTTTATTCCCATAACTTTGAGGGAAGACGAACAAGAACGGGTGAGGTAGACGTTTTCCTTTTTTAAGTTATTGTTACAGCCATTCTGGGTTGTTTCAGTTATTCTTCCAGCCTAGACCATTCTATGATTCTTAATTTTTAAACCGTTCTCAAAATACTGTGCAGACGTCCTTGAGAATTCAAGGTTTGCCAGGGTTTGCTGTGGTTGTGAGAGGTGCTTTGACCTGGGGTAGCAGCACCATCATTGCTCCCATAGAGAAATAGAGAGCTCAGAAATGCTGAAAAAGGGCAGAACGTAAGTGAGGAACAGGCTGTACCTCCTGCCCACAGGAAGAAGGAAGCCTACAGGGATGGCTTTAATGTAATCAGGAGATTTAGAGTGCGTTTGAGAGAGATGTGTGTTCTGCTCCGTTACTGGTGAAACCCTTTAGAGATGAGTACTATATATGACTTGAGATTTCTCTTTGCATTTCTGTCGAGTTCAGAGGTCTCCGTTAGGGTGGTGAATCTCTTGCAGTAGAAACTGTGTAGCTGCAAAAGTCAAAATTAGTTTAGCTAGTCATAGAGTAAGGGATTCTACAAATTAGGGGTCAGTCTGCGGGCTGATGGTTGTGCTCAGCGTGATGTCATGTTGTTAATTCTCAGTCATTAATGAATTCTTGCTCTCTGGTTTGTTTGTTAATGTTAAAGCAGTCTAGTGCTCTGAAAAGAAGGCTCCAGTCACCACATGGAAATCCACCTTTGAAACGTAAATGTAAGCCATCAATAAACACCTTCCAGAAATGTGCTACAGAAGCTGACAGCGGGAAGAAGGGACCTTCATCACAAAAATCTCTTCCTAAGAAGCAGTTGACTGACAACGGAAATGAAAGCCAGAAAAGTAGACCTTTCATTAAGACATCCAGCCTGTTTAGAAACAACCCTGATATCCCAGAAATTCACAGGTATTTTAGACAAACAGAAGGAAAAAAAACCTTTAAACACCTTGAAATTTAGTGTCTTGAATTCTTGCCCTTCTGTGGGCAAAGCAGTTGATTGGTACCTGTAGTTTCATTGCTATTTAGACAGAATACTATTGTCTGATTTTTAACCATACAATGTGCTTTGTTTTGATTTGTTTCTCCTAACTCAGAAAAGCAGTGCAGCAGGTGCAAGAAAACGTTTTCACGACAGATTCTTTTAGCCAGTTGGACCTCCATCCACATCTGGTGAGTGGCCGGAAGGCCGTGCGCCTTGAAACACGCTTTTTTGGGTGGGGAGCAGGTTAGAGAGCTGAGACGAATGTGAGAGCACCTTTGTTCATGGTGGCTTGGACAGGCTTGCCAGTACTTTGCCTGATTTTCTTATAACGTGCTGGACAGTGTCTTGACCTTGTTCCCCAAGACACTGTCCCAGCACCTTTCCCTGGTTGTAATACCAAAAAGCCACAGAAAACTATTTGGAAATGCAGTATTTTAACAAGTCTGATATATCATGATATACCAGCAATAGTGTAATCGTGATTAACTAAGAAGTATTTTGAGGACAAAGGAACATTCACACCCACTTGCCCTCGGCCAGTAATGCAGACAATAAGCATCAGTCTTCTGGTTTTTGCTCCATATTGGACTGCAGAAAGTAGCAGAGGGAACAGTTTGACAATGAAACTTGTTTATTGCTCTTTGTTATCTCTCTAGATCTCCACAATAAACACTGTCCTAAAGATAAGTAGCATGACCAGGTAAGAAAATTCATATAAAACCTTTGTACTTTACTATGTCCTAAAGGAAATCATCCGTGATTTTTTCATTGTATGTGTGGTTCTGAAGAACTGTGATTCTGAAGTAACTGCTAAGCTGTCCCGTTTGCCATAGGGTTTGTTGCTTTCAAAATCTGGGATGAGAAATAACTTGTAAGTTACACATTAAGCCTCTTACCAGAGCTGAACGCAGAACCTCCAAGTCCTACTTTCAAGTTTGGTACTTGAATCATAAAACCGTCTTTTTTCAGTTTATCCTTCTGATGCCTGTCTAGTGGCTTTTCGTAGAGACCACCTCTACTGATGTAGCTACACAGCAGAGGTGAATGTGTAGGATCTGGGGTAAACCAAGTTGAGAGAGTCATTGCATGTTAAAACCTTAGAATTCTATCCTGTAATACATTGGCACTTTGTTTGTTACACAGTGTTCAGAAGCAAACAATTCCTGTGCTCCTGCAAGGCAAAGATGCTCTAGTGAGATCCCAGACTGGTTCGGGTTAGTATTTAATTGTCAGTCTCCTTCCCTAGGGCATATTAAACTAGATCCCAAATGCAGAACCAAAACCTCCCATTCCCAGTACCTCTCTATCTTTAGAATTTAACCCTTTGGTGAATTGCCTGTCGATCTTCCGTTCTGGAAACTTTCTACTTAAATAAAACTTTTCCAGACTCTGACCTCAGTTTCAGAACAGCAGGATGAAAGGCACTTTAGTTTGCTGGAGTGCTGTAATTGTTGCTTTTATTTTTGATGGAAACTCTTCCAATTTTCTCTCCTTGAAAAAGGTAAAACTCTTGCCTATGGGATTCCACTTGTACAGTCTTTGCAAGGAATGGAATCCAAAATACAGGTGGGTGCAACAGAATTAAACAAACTTGCTTTTGATATTAAGATGAATAAAAGTAAAATCCAGCTCTTATCTTGTAGTCACCACTGTCTCTTCTTAACACACAGATCAAGCAGTCTCTTTTTGCCTTTATTTGTGCATGTGACTTTTGCATTTCTCTTGTACTGTTGATACAAGAACAACATTACACATTTTCCATTATTTAATGCAGTGGGCTAACTTGTCAATAGGCTAAATTCTCACCTTCAGAGACGGTAGAGTGCAAAAGAGGCAATGGTCTGCAGGCTGGGAGAACTGAAAACAAAGATTACTACTGTGTCTGCAGGACATGGAGTGAGATCTGATAATTGTTCCCAATTTGGATCATCAGTTGACCAGAAAACGCTGCTGCTGCAGGTCTGCCAGCTCTTGCGTATTTTATAGAGATCATCCTGACTTGCCTTATGGGTTGAAATGTTTCCAGCCCACTCTGGATTGTTACTTGCTGCAGCTGCTACCTACAGATTGTTGCTGTGCGTAAAACATGAGAGTATTTCTGCAGCTCAGAAATACAAGAGTGGAACAACATGCGTATGGAATAAAATGTTGGGTGTGACTTGTGGGTAGGTTTCCAAGCAGGAAGGAGAAGGTGATGCAGTATTGGTATTTGAAAGACTCATGATTTTGTTTTTAAAGCTGGGAGAGGGAAGTACCACAAATTGTTGTGTACAGACTTGTACTAAAACCTGTCAGAGTTCACGTTGTTGGCCAATAGCAGTTGTGCTTGGAAGTGCTCTGTTCATCAGTGCTACGTTCTTCTTAGTGGACCTCTTGTCTTCTCTTTGCAGCGCAGTGACGGGCCTTACGCTCTCATATTAGTCCCAACGAGAGAGGTAGGTGGCCTTTTCTTCTTTCTGATTCTGTCTGAATCTGAGTGTTGAAACACTGACTTTTGGTGTAGATGTGGGTCCACCAGGGACTGCCTTAGGAAATGTCGTCTGTCCCTTTGCTCAGATCTTGCCCTCACAGAAGGAGCGTTTGCTCTCTGTGCATGATGTCATTTTTGTGCAGTGCCCTACCAAAGTGAGAAAAAAGGGATCTCTAAGTTTTCCTCATACAGTTGGAATTAATTGTGAAGACTGGAGAAACTCTAACTCGGTGCACAGGAGGGAGAAGCTTGCCTAGCAGGGGAGTAAATGTGTAGGTTTATACAGACGTTTCACTTTTAAAGCCCTTTTTTCAAATCCGTAAGTGAATGCTGAAGATGCTTCCAAGAGTTGATTTCTCGACTAAACTGTTTTCTACTTGATTTATATTGTTTGCAATTGCAAAGGCGATTTCAAGGAGTGTATCGACCTTTTTGTTTGGATTTTTTTGTATGTCAAATGATAATAACTTCCCTGTGGAGAATTGATTGCAAGTATCTAGTTTGGGGCACAATATTTTATGCAACCTGCAGTGCAATATCTCAGTTCAGTTCCGTGAAAGGAGAAAGCTCTGAAGCTATTTAAATTTTTACAGCAGCAAACTTACTGCCTCTCTAGGATGCTGTATGAATACTAAGCGTGTAGGAAACTGTTTGTAAGCTTGTTTAAAGGGCTGACACTGAGATTACTTATGAAGATAATTTGCAGTTACAGTTGGTATTTTACTTTATGTTGAAAGCAATGGCCTTCCTTTGGAGCTTGTCAAATAATAGCATGTAACACATGTTGTCAGGGCATTTAAAATAATTCTACTCCCATAACTAAGCCCACGAATGAGTCGGGGTGGCACTGTTGCCTTTCTGGGCAGCATGAAGCACATGAAGCACAACAGCGAAATGCTTCCTCCCGACCAGACGTTGAGGTTCGTGAGCTTTGTGTATCCATCTCTGTTCCAGGGGTGTGATCACTCCATGGGTCAGGTGAGGGAGTAACGTGATCTGCCCTGACTGCCAGAAGATAACTAACCTCTGGACTGAACTTCCTTTTCATAGTGGTTTTCTGTCAGAAACTGTGCCATTTTCCTTTTTGCTTTTTCAGTGAAGTGAATTCTTAGGTGGCTTCAGCTTGTTTTCTCTCTGGGGCAATCACAGAAGCCAGCAGAAGTCTCTCTTGTTCCCAGAGCTGGCTTGTGGAGCTGAACCAATAGAGATGTTTTTGAACAGGTCCCAATATAATAAAAGAAGGATTATGCAAGAGGATAATAAGCAGCTTCTAAAAGAAAAATTAAGAATATATTTGGAATTCTGATGATACAGATTTTTGAGCCAAAGGGGCTCTTAGTCCATCTTTGTAGTTCAGGGACTTTTTTGGAGCTCACTTTCTTTTGTTGCTTTCCATAGCTTGCCCTCCAAAGTTTTGATACAATGCAGAAACTACTTAAGGTAAGAATTCAGTGTTCTGTGTCCTTATTCCTTGAGTCTCTTGCTATAAGATGCTGAACGGGTGTTTATCAAAATCCAGCATCTGGCAAGATACATGGTCCCTGAAGATGTCTTTAAGTGCGTGATTTCCCTGTGGCATGTTTTAAACTATCACATGAACGATTAAGTGATTAATTATGGCACCTTATTTGCACGTGTTTTCATAAACGAGCATAATTGATTTTCACAATGTTTTGTTTTGAGAAGTACGTGCCATTGTTACGGTCTAAGTTATGAATGGAAGCTCTCACAATGACAAGTACTGTTTTACTGAAACTAATACTAGACAGATGGGTTTCAGATGGGGAGTGGAACTTGGTGAACTGCTTTGCCAATTGAATGGCTGGAGAAATTAGAAGGCTTTTAAATTCATTACATGATAGTGCTTTGCTTTTAATTGAGGCAGAGTATCTTACCATGGGGCTAGAAAATACCTAAATCGTTTATCTCATCCATATTCCCGCTCCTTATTTTTCCTTGAAGTAATAAGGCGCTTCCCATGTCTTTTTTTTAATGCTGAAATTACCAAGTAAGATTTTGTTGTGTCAGTCTGAAGTTTAAAATACTTCAGTCTTCTTCCACAGTAATGAGAAGTTATTATGAGGGCACTTTTGATGCCCTTCAAAGCATGGAGTCTGGACTGACCCCATTTAATTTTTCTTCATTACATGTAGTCTGTAGTAACCATCAAGTCCCGTGCAAACTGTCACAGTGACCCAAAGCAGAAGATGTAGATTGGGGTGTGACTGGACTTTCCAGTGGCCAGCTGGAGGGTGTAATGTGAATATGTAATTTGTGAGAGAGAAAAGGGCTAGTTGAGCTTCTCTTGACACGCATACTCTGATGTCAGCTGCCATGGTTACATAGCCTTATTTTTAAATCTTAAAAAGAAACTCTTTTTTAGGAACTCTACTGTTGGAGCATTTCTGGCAAGCGGTGACCCATGCAAACTTAAGCCTATTTACCCATCACGCGTCTGCGCAGTCCTTACAGGCTGTGCGCCGCTTCTGTCCTGCGCTGCCTTCTGGGTGAGGCGATGGCAGGACTGGGCTTTGATTATCTCCCCTGTAAATATTGGCCAATACTGGATTCAGTGAAGGGCTGGTCCTCACTAAAGTAAGTGGCAGAAACTCCTGTCAGTATCGATGAGACTGATATTTGATGTTCACAGATGTGGTGACTGGGTGCGTGTAGATCTCTGTACATACACACAAACATGGCAGTTGTGTGTTTTTCTTAAATTTTCCTTGGCAACAGGAAGGTATTACTTAAAGGCAAGATGAAGAAATAGCATTGTAGCTTGTCTTTGAACGTTTAGGTGACATGGGGAGAAGGGAAAGAAATGTTACGTGATGGGAAGCGGTGCAAAAATGATTGCATTTCTGTCTTCCAAGGCAATACGGGAAGCAAGTTAGTGGCTATGGCTCAAGGTGCTGTTGATATGTAGCTGTGGGCGAGAGAGTGCAGTTAGACTGTATGTGTTAGATCAAATCAGATGCACACTGCTGTCAAGCCCAGTCCTTTCTCTTTTTGTCAAGAAACATCATTTCTGGATTAGGGTCCGTCTATTAAGAAGAATCTGTATTGATCTTAGTTTTTCTTTCTGTAGCCATTTGCCTGGATTGTGCCTGGAGTGCTAATGGGGGGAGAAAAGAGAAAATCAGAAAAAGCCAGGTAGGAAGCCAACTCCTTCAATCATATTTTGGGTTCTTCTGCTCTACAATGTTTTTATCCGTTACTCTTCTTTGGAGTGCTTTTCTTCCTGGGAGAGAGGATTGTGAGTCTGGATCAAGCTGTGATCCCCCTGGATCGTACACAGACACAGTGACTGGGTCGGCAGGAAGTGTTCGCTTTCCCCAGTTGGATCTGTTTCTGAAATGTTGATGAGCCTTCTGAGAAGATGATCTCTTGTGTCAGTATTTTTTTTTCTCTCCTGACAAACACCTGTATTTGCTTACCACTGAGTGCTGTCTACAGTGTTTGTTATGGGGGAAATTGCTTTCTGGAGAAGAGATTTCCTGGTGTTAAAAATGTCTTTTGTTTCCCATTTCAAGAATTGAATTGTAAGCTGGTAATCCAAAAATGGAATTTTCATTTCTCTCTGTATAAGCATACACAAAAAGAAATTTACTGTTGATGTATTTGGTTAGAAAAGAAAACCTAGCTTGAGTGTAGAAGATATTTTTAATATTTTTACCATTTCTTTCCATTCTCTCCTTATTAGTGAATATGCCTCTGAGCACTGATGATCAAAGCTAAAATTTAGCTGTGCAAGTAATCAGTGAGAAAGTACTGACCCTGCTACTCTTGCTGTGGCCATGAATTTTTCTGCTAAAAGTTCCGGTTTCTCACTCTGGGTTCCTATTCCAGAGTTACTGCTAATCTGTACATTTTTGTTTCTTTTTTTCCTTTCTTTTTTCTGATGTGGATTTTTTTTTTTGTTGTGGTGATTGTGTTTTATGTTGTTGTTTTTTTTTAATTTAAACAGATTACGTAAAGGAATAAATATCCTCATTTCAACTCCTGGTCGTCTAGTTGATCACATCAAGTCCACAGAATGTATTCATTTCCGTCGCACGCAGTGGCTGATTATTGATGAAGCAGACAGGTAAACTTAGAAGTGTTTACATAAAGAAAAAAAATACTATATCCCCTGCATTGTAATTCACTAAATATTTTTTAAAAATTAGATAGAGCACACACATGGTCTTAAACTATTCATGCTTGGTGGCCTCAGCCAAGCACAGATGCCTGTGATTAGGAAGAAATATCTGTTTAGGACAGATTGTTCTACAGTTATTCATTGCAGAGATTCTCTCAGTGTCATCGGACCTGTCTGACCCCGGCAAAATTTGAAGATGGAACATAAAGCTAGTTGGGCCAAAGACCTACTCAGCTCTAGCATTTCCCCTATTCTTAACTGGCTCATGTAGCATTAAGACTTTCTGCTCATTCCTTCCTGCAGCATCTTTCATCACCTCTGCTGTTTCTGTAGGATCCTGGACCTGGGCTTTGAGAAGGATGTAGCTGCGATACTCAATGCTTTAAATGCCGAGAGAGAGACACGTCAGAATGTCCTGCTCTCAGCCACCCTCACAGAAGGTAGGTTTTAGATGGATTGGTGTCTTTTTTAGCTGAGTATTTCAACCCAATCTGAAGCCTTTTGCAGAAGTGAAATAAAGCCTATTGACTCCTTCGGGCTTGTGATAACCTGTCCTCTGTTATTCAAACTTGTGTCGGTGTATATACTTAAATGGTCCTTACACGTGTCTCGCAAGTTCCAGAGCAAAGTCACCATGAACCTGAGAAGCACTGCTTGGTTTGCTTGCTTCACAGACACAGAATTAAGGCAAAAAGCTAGCGACAGGATTTACTCAGGGTTGTACAAGGAGTCAGTTGCGGAGGCAGGAATTGAGCCTGGTCTCATGGCTCTGCGTTCTTATTAAGAGTGAAAATCTGGGGTTTTGTCCACTCGTGTGCTGGTCAAGGCATTTATGTAATGTTAAATGGCACAGTTGGCCTAAGTAGCGTTTTGTGATGCTTTTGGAGAAGTTTGCAGCATCTAAGCCTGGCTAACCCCTGAAGAGTCTGAAGTTTGTGGAGGTGTTGTGTCAGTGTCTGAGGCACGGCTCATTAGTTCCTTGCCCTTCGCTGCTTTTCACTGGACTTGGCGTTACTTGGCCTTTTTATGTGAATATATCATTACCCTCCCCAGCAGCACTCCAGACTAGACCTCATGTAGTTTTTCTTTTCCATGATTTAGGAGTTACACGGCTGGCCGATATCAGTCTGAATGATCCCGTCAGCATTTCCATAGCAGATGAAATCCAGAAAGCGCTCAAACCAGCATCACAAGATAGACAAGCCAGTAGTTCATTGAACTGCATGGACCAGGAAGACTTTGCTGTTCCAGAGAAGCTCAAGCAGTACGTCATGATGGTGCCCAGCAAACTGAAGCTCGTCACGTTAGCAGCTTTTATCCTTGAGAAATGCAAGGTGAGACTGCATTTATATTGCTAAGTAGCCCTTTGCCCTTTTCAACTACTTGGTTACTGTGTCAAGGATAGCGTGGATTAGATGTCAGGCTTTGAAGTGCATCTGCTGTACAGGGATCCACAGGAGAGCTGAGGTGCTGTTGTGTCTTTCAGGTGTGCAACGTGTATTTGTACTTCTTTTGTGGGCTCGGTATTTGATGTCAAACTCCGTAATCCTTTCCTGGATAATCATATCTCTGGAAGTGGGAGCCACCTAGATCTTATAGTGGCCAGGGAATTGGGAAAAGCCTGTGAAAATGGTCACGAGCAATTTTCTTGTTTATCTTGCAGTTTGAAAAACACCACAAGATGATCATCTTTTTCTCCAGCTGTGAACAAGTGGAATTCTACTATGAGCTGCTTCTAAAGGTCCTTTCAGGAGGGCCAGAGTCAGAGCAACCTCAACATTCATCTGTCTCCTCTGCTTGCTTACAGTTTCTACGACTGCATGGCAACATGGAACAGGAAGTAAGCATTCTCAGAATGTCAGGATACACAATTTTCTTCCTTATTCTCTATGATTTATTATGTGGTTATTTTGGGGAGGAGGGCAGAAGAGAGGACAGAGAGTCATTTCACCTCTAGGGGCCTCACTCTTCCATCTGCTAATGAGAATATGAATATTGTCCCACTTCTGGAAAGTACCGTGGTAGCTATATCTGAAAAACACAGCTGAAGAGGCAAGAGGTGTTATTTCAGAAGGCTGAGGCAGCCGTTCTGTATTCCCAGTGGATGCACTTAAACCATTTATGTATCCATGATTGTCTCTCATGCAGCCAAGACAAGCTTTTAGTGCCAAAGGAAAATCTCATCCAAGTCCCAAAACCTTACTGTCCAGTGAGCTGCCCCCATTACATTGGCTTTGGTTTTGAAGAAAAGTGTCTCGAGAGACTGCTCTTTTCCCTGGGATGGGAAAATTTAACAGTGATTACCCCAGAAGGAGAGGTTTAGGTTTTAGCCGGATAGGCCTGGATGATGAAATTGGAGCTTGAAACATAGGGCTGAGAGGCCTGGAGAAGAATGTCAAATGAACTGTCACTGCAGCATTTCTCTCGATAGCTGAGGCACCTCCCTTGAAAGTTCAGCCCCTGATCCTGCCCTTGGTCTGTGATGGAGAGAGTGGCTGCTCTACACTGAGCTGTGCAGCAGCGATGGTAAATGAATAGAGCTCTTCTGATGAAGCAAGAGGTGAAGAGCCATTGTTTTTCTCGCTCATTCCCATCCTGTGGAGACCAGAAACATGTGCTTTGCTGTCCCTGCAGTCTGGCCTTTCCTCAGCCTGCTTGCCTGAGCGAGTGAGCAGGCCTGGTCTGGCCCAACTCTACCCTGACCAGCTGTTAAGCCAACAGAACACCACTAAGTAGCTGGCACCAGGGGAAGGGTTTTGCCTTTTTAGTACCCAGTGTGTAATTAGTGCTTGATGTCTTCAAATTAAGAGCATTAATGGAGCTAAATTGTGGATCCCATATGGTACTGCTGAGCACGGCTGCTGTCATTGTCAACAAGATACAGCGTGCTCTCTTCTTTAATTTTTGTCAGCAGAGGGTTCAGTGTGTCAGCAAGGCCCAAGTTTCCCATCTTTCCTAAACAGTACCTCTAGCTGGGAGTCAAGTGTGTAAGGTTTCTTCTGTATCATCAGCAAAACAGATTATTCACTTCAACTCTGAGAAGGAAGGCTTGGAACATGGAAACATGAAAATTTTGGAAGGAGGAAGCAAAAGGGATAGGAGGGAAATGGGTATGGTATTTCTGGGGCCAGAGACAGCCTGAACTCTAAAAAGGAAAAGAGTAAAAGGAATGGGATCAAGGGAGCGTGAGTGTGCAGTTGTTTCCTACAGCTCGGGAGAAGGACTGTGGGTGGGTAAGTGGTTACGGGCAAAGACCAAATGCTGCTGAGGACTTGGGTCACCAGAGCTCAGATGTTGTCTTGTGTGATACCAAATATCGTTGTGACGTAATATGGGCTTGAGATTCAGTTTCTGTTGCTTTTATCAAGAAAAAAGTACACCCCAAAGTACTTTAGTTAAATTAACTGGAGTGTGCTTAGGGAGGTTTGGGGACTGACAAAGCAGGCGGCTTTGGAAGGTAAGTGAGGAGCTATACTGGTGGGTTCCTGCGGTTGTGGGGCTCAACAGCTCACAGGGTGGTGACGGGGCAATTTGGGATTGGGGGCAGTGGACAGCCCTGCCTGGAGCCTGAGCTTGTGTTAGAAGTGGGGGCTGTGGGAATTCTGCTCATGCAGACTAGCAAGGAGGACAAGGCTGGGGAGCATCTGCTTCTGACACTCATGGGAAGGAACAACCTGTTGCAGTGTCAGCAGCCCCACTGGTGGCCAGTGTGAGGCACTTTCTTGTGGCAAGGCCATGGGAGGGTGCCCTGGGAGCTTTGTGGCAGCTGCCTGCAGACCTGCTGCTTTGTCCTCTTGGACAGGGCTTTCTGGCCAAGGTCTCATCCCTCCTGCCCTGTTACTCTGAAGACTTATCCCTCAACAGTTCATGTGAGCAAATGTGCACCTGAGCATCCCTGATATTTAATAATTACGCAGTCAGTCCGGTGACTCTCTGCGTGGCCCATTGGGCACGTGATGAGGCTGATCTCTTGTGCTGTGACTGTATTGCTGTGTCAACAAAATGGGCTTATCCTGCCCATTGTGTGACTGGATGCACAGCAGTTAAGATGTCCAGCTTTTTCTTGTATCCACAGAAGCCTGGGTTGCCCATAGAGCATGCCCGGGCTGCTGTTGCTGCTGTCAAATGCTTTGTGGATCCCCTCTCCATGTAAAACAGTTACTGCCTTTTGACATACACAGGCCGTGCGTCTGTGGAAACTGTGGACAGGTTGGCTGCTTTGGTTTGACCAAATGCAGTCAGGCTTGCCCCTGCCTGGGACCACACCTCGGTGCCACAGATCATCTTCCATTGGCGGGAAGAGCCTGACTGAAACTTGTGAAGTCAGTTCCTTTGCTTTTGAAACTGTGAACGAGGTCTAGTTGTTAAATTGTTACAGTAGCTAATTTGCTTTCTGTTTGATTGTGATAGGCATAAGCACTCTTCATTTTCCTGTTTCAATCCTCTAGGAAAGAACAGAGGTCTTCCAAGAGTTCCTAAAATCCAAGACTGGCGTCTTGCTTTGCACTGTAAGTAGCGTAGAATCCCTTTGCAGCTCCACGCTAATGGGCCCTGTCTGACATGTAATGGTAGAACAGGGGATTTGGCACTGAGCTCTGATTCCAGCCCGCTGTCTGACCTTGAGGAAAGTCATCTCCTTTTTCTGCATCTCCCATGTTAAATAAGGACTGGTGCCCTCTTTGCGAACTATTCTCTGTGTGATCCTTTGCTGTGAGGTACCACGTGCAGAAAAAGTGTATCTTACACAAGAGGCCTCTAAGTATTTGACGTGGTCTTATGTCTGGAAAAATCTGTTCATTTGAAGCTGGAACTTTGCCCTCTACATGCAGTCGGTAGAACGTAATCCTAATTTGTAGTATGCCCCATCACTGCCAGGTAAATCGGATGTGATGTGACATTTCCCACCTTAATGACTACCCCAAGGTTAAAAACAAAAACCTGCAGGGTTGGAAGGGAAACCCAGACAGAGGATGGTGTCACTGGAAATGCACGTGCTCTGCTGCTCTCCATGCTTTGCCCTTCAAGCTTCCTTCAAGGGTGCTGAGGGAGAAATTCTTGTCCTCTTCTGAGGTTTGCTGGCACCCTTGTTTTATGGTGGCACCTTCCATTTCTGGTTTCTGACCTGTCGGTGCCACAGCTAGCCTGCTGCAGTGGTGCAGAAGGCTGCACGATTTGCTCTCTAATAGTGGCAGCTGTTGATCTGAAAATGTGTGAATCTTGGCGATTTCTACCCACCGCAAACCTGTAAATTACAGCGATCGGGAGTAATTAGAGCCGAGAAACCCTCTCCAGCTCTGAAATGACTCCTGTTCTTGCAGCACATCATTCTTAAAGGAAACTAGTTGCAATTTTTTTCAGAGAGCGGGGGCCAAATTTTGACTTGCTTTTATGCCTGCAATTCCAACTAGGACTGCCGTATAGCAATGTTTGGTTTAACATTGCCAAGTTATATATTGTGTCACCCGTAAAACTGTGCTTGTACGTGCTAATCTTGGTCCTGTTTGCGTGTACAACCTGTCAGTGATTTGATCAAGGTCAAAACGCATCTTTGTGGTGCAGAAGTGTGACTATGACTTGGTTTCCCTGTATACAGAGGTAATACTTAAGTGTCTCAACCAAGGAGGATAGTGAAGGTTAAATCATTTGGTGGTGTAGATTGTTTTGAAGATAAAAATGTTTGGTAAATTCTAAATAATAAATTACTGAACTTTTGTAATCCTTCAAGCACATGCTGTCTAGAACAGAAATTTCAGGGATGTGTCTTATTACTGAAATTTCAGTTTAATGAGTTTGGAAAGACAGTGAATGCCCAATTTTAGACAAAGAGAAAGCAAAATCATTGCAGTCACTGGGATATCAGTTCCTGGGTGAAGACCGTTCGAAGGGGAAATGCAGCCTGCGGCAGGAAAAACCTGCCAAAAAATGTACAGCCGTTGCAAGGTAGAAAGAAGAGCAAGTTGGGTAAAGAAATCCCAGTGGTTGAGATCTCTCTCTTGAGACACTGGAGATGTGGTTTGATTTCCTGCCCTGCCACAGACTCGGTACAAGTGGATGCGGAATTGTGGTGACAGGGCGAGTAGCCACATGTCAGCTGAGCGGCGGTGGTTGTGTGTTTGCTCCTGACCTGCCGTAAAGGGGCTGTAATGTGGATCAGCCTGGATTGCCGTGAAGAGGGTAACGTAAGGAAACGCATTTATCATAACCCTCTTCAATCTAAGCTACTCTGCATTTACTGCAGGCAGGGATGCACATCCCTGCAGTTACACGGCTCGGCTGGCGCACGGTTAGCACGTGAGGCGCCTGCATTCTGTGTCTAAGTCCAAAATCTCTCCGTGCTTCAGCTCCCCATCTGTAAAATGGAGATAGTAGCACTGTTCTATCTTACAGAGATGTTGGGAGGACAAATGCATTGAAACCAGGAGGTGGCCTGTTACCACAGTAATGGGGACCATATGGACACCTTAATATAGAGATACACTTTGCACCAGTCCCACATTACAGGTGCCTCCCCAACGCAGATGTCCAAAGGGCAGCCAGGCTCTGTGACCGCCTCCTGCCTCCGAGGGCAGCACTTTTTCTGATGCTTTTCTTCATATCAGCAAAAATGGTTTGCAGGGAGATGGTTCTGTTCTTTTTCACTGCGAAATCACGTTTTGTGCCCACGAAATTTTGAAACCCGGCTCACAAAAGGGCAACACAAATAACATTCCTGTCCTTCCCTCGTCCCTTATGCCATGTTCTCCACCCATCTTTCCGCTCTAGTAAGCAATGGGACCTGCTGTTCCTTTTATTAATTTGCTGTATGTCATATGTATATTAATATATTCCATAAAATATTTTTGCCAGACAATATAAGCTGGCAGACAAGAAAATAAAGAAGGGCTGTGTATCTCAGAGGGTCTCATCCAGATTTATTTCTCTCTCCTTCACTGAAGTTCTTTGCAGCTTCCTTTGGGATGTGCCTTTTAAACAAGTTCATCTCTTCCAGGGAGAGAGGAAAGATCATTTGGAGATTGTTTGCTGTTTACTCAGTCACGCTAACTCATCTTGCCAGTTTTCTGGCGGCCCCAGCCAAGAGCTTTCGCCTCTGACAGCTTCTGTGCTCTCTCCTTCCTCCTCTGATTACGCAGCCCAATCTGTCACCCTGCCGACGGGGGTCTCTACCCTGCTGATGGCTTTCCACACTCGGCAGTAATGACTTTTGGCAGGCCGGGAAGGCGCGAGAGCTTCTTCCCCAGCTTGGAGAGCCGTTAGGCCCTCTCTGCCTGTTAGCTAAAGCACTTTGTGAGGTTCTTTGGTAAATAAATGAGTCATTTTAATCCAACTGACAGCCTGGCACCTGAGCAAGCTGCCTTCCATCTGTACTTCTAGGCCTCATGTAGGCAGCCAATTGTCAAGCTCAGGGCCTTCAAGACCTCACCATTGAGTGTCTTTCAAAAGCAACTTTAGCAATTTCCTTTGCCCTAATTAGATTGTGTGAAAGGGACGGAGCAAACCAAGGCCTTTGCAAAACTTCTGTGGTCGTGCCGGTTCTGATCTTCGGCAGCGATACGTCTCGATTTTGATGTGGCTGTTTTGCTCCCTGTTCCCTTGCACCCACCCCTCTGTACCCCCTCACCACCACGGGCTGGTAACGTGAGTTGTTAGAAGCAGAAATTTTGGCATTTCTGAGGATTTTGTGGCTTGCAGGTGGGATCAGGGATCAGATGATGATGTTTGCTTGGCATCTGGATTCTCTTTATAATTTGCACTGGTGTAAATTATTTCTCCTTGCTCCTGTGAGATGGGTGCTTAATTCTCCCTTCCATTGCCCACTGAAAGGAGTCAGCAGTGACCTGCTGAAGTGTCATATTCTTAATTTCCCTGTTAATAAGGAACAATAGTGTGAGGTCAGGCATGGAAAAGGGAATGCTGTCTGGCAGTGGAAAAGAAGAGGGAGTATTACACTGGAAATCTGTTGGGCTTCTTGAAAGAGCACTGGCAGCAAGTTAGTGCTTCTGTGCGTGGAATAAATGTAGTGCTAGTAAATCTGGATAATTGTTGCTTGAGCTACATTCCCTCTTCTGGTAAGGTGACCCACAAATATTTTTCTAAAGGTCTGAGAAGCAGGAGGTTCATGGATTCTGCCAGCAGAGGAAAGCAAATCAACTCAAACTTTTTCTCCTAATTCTACCTTGCTGCTGTCTACTTGGGTCTTTGAGGAAAAGGAGCTACAGGAGACGCAGGTGGACAGATACTGAGGAATCTTTGAGAGTTTGCAAAACACTCCAATTACCAGTAAATCCCAGGACACTTGTGAAAGAAAGCCAAGTTAAACCCCAGGAGAATAGCTGCTGCTGTGTGTCAGTAACAGCTGGGTGGAGTTGGTGGCATTGTGAAAGCAGCAGTGAATACAAGGCTGATGATGGGAGAGAGCCTCCTCCTAAAATGCTGTCCTTGGCTCTTCATTAGGTTTTCAGTTAACCTTTTCTACTTTCCTGCTTGCTTTGGCAAACACACGTGAGAATAATGCTGCCCACAGCAGTAGTTTCCCAGCCTGAAGCATTGAGAGAAGGTGTCTTAGAAGAGGAAAGAGCCCTGATGGATGAGGGGGATGGCTCCTGCCCCTGCCACCTCCTTCTCCTTCTTGTGTTGGAGGTGCCTGCTCCTGACCGCAGGGACAGCTTGGTGAGCCGTTCGTTTGGAGTAAGCTCACGCTGTCCCAAGGTCAGAGCCTTCTCAAGTACAGTCTTCCCTAATCTGGTGAGGGTGAGAAAGAGCACAGCACAGGAAAGCACCAGAGACTTGTCAGTGTGGGAGCGTAACAGAGCCAGCCAGGTCGGAATCAGGCGTCGGCACTCCTGTCTGATCGTGCTGCAGAGTTTATAATCTTGTTATCCTGGTAACTGCTGTACACGTTCCCTGACTTCTCTTGATTTATTTTCTCCAACCTCCTTTAAATGGCTTTTTGTACATCTGTTCATTCTGACTCTGGGAACAAGTCGTTTCTTAATGAGCGTGTTGGAGCGAAAGTGTGTGTTATTTCAGAGTGGGCGCTGTGGAAAGTGTCTCCTCTTTTACTGCAGTTGGAGCCACAAAACAACCTGGCTAGTGCTTATGGGAAGGCCTTTGCTGCCAAAACATCAGCTTCCTAGTCTTTTAACGTGTGTGGGAGTTGCATGAAAACACTTCAGTGGGTGGCTGACACATTTTTAGTACATTAAGCTCCTGCTTACGTTCTTAATATATTCTATTTTGCAACTAGCTAAAAGATACATGTGTTCCAAAACATTTCCTAACAGAGTTAAATCTGCACACCTGCTCTGCTATTGCGCGTGGTGAATGTAAAACCCAAGGAGTATGTGAGGACATTACTAATGAACAGAAAATCAGGAAGGGAGATGGAAACATGTTTGTGCTCTCTCTCTGTTTTGAACAGTATTTAAAGTCTGTTTTCTCTTTGAAAGGGTATATTTTTTGAGCTCTACTGGCTGTGGATAACTAAAGGGTCTCATTCAAGTCCTTCTCCAAGCTGATGGGTTTTCTCACCAGCCGGCACATCAAGTAACACTCCTGACAGCAGCTTCAGACTCGTTTCTTTGGGGCTGTGTTTTATTTCTCCAAATCAAAGTCAGACTGGTGAAAATCTAAGGGGCAGCTGCAGTGCCCTCTCTTCAAGCTGTACTCCAGCTTCCTGCAGCTTCCACTAAACTGTTTGTTGGCCTTTTATTGTAGGGCCAGGTGACCTGCAAGTCATCTGCTCCTCGCTTCAGACCATCACCTAGGAATCAACTAATTATTTGCAGGTGGGCTCAGTGTATCTGTAGACATTGCACTCAAGGCCTAGGATCCTTGACCATTTGGCCATTACGGCCATTTTCCTTCTCAGCAGAAGCAGCCTGGTTTTAGTTGTTAGGCTTGCTGGGGAGAAAGGTGTGCTCTGAAATGATGTTGCCTTCCAGAGATTTAATTTGGCCTCTCTCCCTGGCTGGGTAGTAGGTGCCTACAAGCAGATCTGTATTCATCAATGAACCAAAGAGAAGAACCAAAGGTATCGCTGCCGTTAAGCCAGTTGATTCTCGCATACAACGCAAAGGGACTGTAGCAGAATGCTGTAGTTCCACACCACTCTCCTGAAATAGGTGGATTTATCTCCTCCAGGCTTTGGGTCATAGTAGTGGATTGTTTTTTATTGTATTAATCTGTTAACAATGTTCCTTGTGTTTTAAACCCTCGGTGTTATTTCTGATCTTCTCCTCAGACCAGGTGCGTGAAATTCCTACTTGCGTAGCCAGTTGTTTCCTGGCACAATTGACATCCCAGAATAGTTCTTACATTGCTGATACCTTCAAAGCATTTTTACTATTTTCTTTATTCATTTTAAAGGATGTTGCAGCACGGGGACTAGACCTACCTCAAGTTACGTGGATCATGCAGGTAGGTTTGTTATCTATGTATGTGCCTGTGTATGTATCGAGTTCAGCCGTGCTCAGATGAAATCCCTTTCCCGTCCATACCCGCTCTCTGCACTTTGTTGGGCTTTGTGCTGGTGCCTACAGGTGTGGGAGACCCACGTGATCCTGACTGCAGGGCTGGGACTCCTGGTTTTGCTGGGAAGCAGCGTTGCCTATCCTACCTTTGGGTTTGACAGTCTGTTTTCAGTAACTCCAGTGCTGTCAGCCGTGTAACGATATTCCACTGACTGGGAAGAAACACCCTCTGTTTACCCCCACAGGAGGCCAATTCTTGTGAAGCACTGGCCATCTCTCTTGCAGTTTCATGTTTCTATTTTTCTGAGCTTGCTGGGGAGGCAGCTCCACAAGGAATTTAAGTGTGATCCTAATGTTAAACATTGAGTAGCCTGATAGTGTCTGTGCAGTGACCTGAATGTTTCAAGTGAGGCTTTGCTGGGTTGGGGCTGGGGCTGAGTAGCTGTAAGCATTCAGGTTTCGGTAGAGCTGCGTAGTTCAGATTTTACCTGAAAACAAACAAGTAAAAACCACGCGACTGCATTGCTGTTGACAGAAATACTGTCTTTGGGAAAAAAAAAATAAAATAGGAACTAAGGGAGATGGATTGAACCTTAAAAATAGCAGCCTGTCATTTCAAAGGGAAGCTGAGCATGAAGCAGATTTCGTTTATATAAAAGATTTATAATTTTAAAAAGTTAGTTGAATTGAGGAAAAACTGATCCAGAGATTCTCCTGTATCAAGTGACACCTGGGTAAAAAGAACAGGGCATAGAACCCCAACAAAGCTTTTTAATTCCTGCCTTATCCCTTCAGGTAACAAATATGATTTGTTTTTTTAAGAAAGAAAGATTTTTGTAGCAGCTAGCTAGTCAGAGAAAGCTGGGGAAGTGAGCTCTTTAATTCCCAAGTCTGTATATTAATATAATTTAACCAAAGGTACAGTTGCCAGTGTTAGAACGCAGTGCAAATTACCTAAAGCCCTGGGAGACTTCTGTGTGTCCAGAAGGCGAAATCTCAGCTGTCCTGAGAGCTGTGTCCAAGAGCAAGGACCTGCAGGGAGCAATTAGATTGCTCACAGCATCTTACTCACACCTCTAGCCAGTAGAAACTTTGCCAGAGGGCACAGGTATAAACACTAGAGTGGGCTTTGGTTGTTGGGTTTTTTCCAGTTAAACTGCTGAGGGCTCATTTCTGAGCAGTATCTCTGTGCGTGTTCATTTTTTCAGGAAAGAGAGGAGGGGGGAAAGAATAGGGGGAGGTTAAAGGGAGGGGAAGATGTCACCCTTTAGCCAGGCTTGCAAATGGCTGGGCAGTTTTGATTCCCAGCGAAGTAAATGAGAGGCACGGCTGTATTAGGGGAAGCTTCAAGCAATGTTTTCGTAGTGTCTGGTAGTTGTACGTGGGAAGACAATTGCTGCCTGTGTCGGATGCTGCCGAAAGCACTTGGTCCCTCATCTCTCTGAGATTTCTTCTGTCCGGTAACCAGCTATGATTTGTTTTAATCAAAGTAAAGCAGTTTATCCCAAGTCCAGATTTGAATCTGTCATCTTTTATTTTATAGCTTTTCTCCCAAATGCAGAGCAGGCGGCTTCCCACGCTCTAGGGGCAGTCCTGGGCGTTGTTTGGTTTGAGGTCTCCATGAGATTTTTTTCTTGTTTTTTGTAAGGAAAGCAAACAGGTTCCTGACATGACGTAGAGGAACAAAATGTAAAAGGCAAAGAGAGACACTGAGATAGGGAAACTGTCCTATTATCTGAAAGTTGGCCAACGTGTCACATTCACGTGTCAAAAAACTGCTCGGGCTGAGTGATGGTTACAAGGATGAGCCTGATGGGCTCTTGATAAACAGACCAGTTCCGAGGGCGGTGGGTTTTACTGAGATCCCTTTTGTTTCAGATGAGTGGGCTGAGTGTCTCGTTTATAATTAACACACTGTGTTCTGTTAATTCCTCCTTTCCCTTCTCATGTTCCCTTTTTTGAAGTATAACGCTCCGGCTTCACCTGCGGAATACATCCACCGGATCGGGAGGACGGCTCGCATTGGCTGTCACGGGAACAGCCTGCTTGTCCTGGCGCCTTCGGAGGCAGAATATGTCAGCTTGCTGGCTTCTCACAAGATTAAGTGAGTCAGAAACGCGAACAAAAGTTTCAGCTCATCCTTGCTAATTAACCTTCCGTGGCACTTTCAGCGGGACTGTGTCTTGTGCAGGTTTTAATAAGAATTTATTAATTCTTGCGATCCAGGGCTGGCCCCAGACTAGCAAAAGGAGAAAAGGAAAGTGTGTGAAAATCACCAGCCTGACAGATTGTGCATGAGCGAGTGTGTGCGGTGAGGGGCAGAGAGGAGCTGATAGTCAGAGATCCTTTGCACTCCGTCATTACCTCTCTGGCCCTGGGTTCAAATCGTGGCTACACGGAGATCACAAGTCAAATGAACCTGTCAGATGCTCACTGGCCATCTGCCTGCATAGCACCATATTGTCAGGGATTGTGCCTTCTCTTCAGGAGAGATCCGGCGGAGAAATAGCGAGAGAGCTGTGGGTCATATCTGGCAGGTAATTGGCCAAGATGTGTTGTGTAAGTGCCTTGTGACAGGAATAGTAGAGGATTTTATGAGTGGTCAGTGCCCAGTATGGTCCTGAGAGGCAATAACGGGGGTGGACCCTGCAGCCCAAAAACGGGATGTGCTTCCAGGCTGGCTGGGAAAGCCCCTCTTACACCGGCTCTAGCTTGCACTTGGGAGTAGAGAGTCAGGAGAGCGACTCGGGCTGGGTAAGGACCAGCCCGATGTGCAGTTGACTACCTCAGGGCTGACACACGATGAGGTTTTAGTGCAGCTCTGCTGGTGCAGTGGTCCTTTTGTGGAGAAAAACCGCATGTCGCTGCTCAGCGTTGCTAGTGAGGAGCACTCCGGGTGCCGAGCCTCCTCGGCAGGCAGCTGCAGGGATGTGACTCCCCTTGCTCCCCGCGCTGCTGTCTCTCAGCGCTTCACAACGTCAGCCGAGGAGAGTCCCTTTGGTGTCGCGCTGGTTTTGACGGAGCCCTGTAAACTCCTGCACAAATTAGTTCTCTTTTATTTCTTGTGTTTATGTCGGGTGGAGCTGCTTGGAGTCGAATTTGGTTTTGCATCCTTGAAACAAACAAATGTTGGCAGTAAATACAGGCTTATTCTAGGCTCTGAGCCATTTAGTGGTCTAACAAAGAGCCATCCATCATCCCAGGTAACTATCTATTAAGCAGACACCAGCAAGACATGGAGGACTAAGCTGACAGGGGTTTTTTTTCATGTAACAAACAGCACTGACATTTAAAGGTGAAATCCCACATAATTGTGAATTTTTAACTCCAAGCGGGGTGTTCTATTTTATAATATTTTGGAAGTGTTAGAAGAGAGAAATCTCCCCCTTTTATTTGCTTTAAATGTTAATGGTTTCATCCAGTTTTGTTGTTTTTTAACAAGTTTAAGGAGCGTCATCACTTATGCTGGTAATTATCTGCTAAGGAGACCTGTTGTTGAGCTATGAGGAATCAGTAGAAGACTGTGCTGAGTGAGCAGAGGGAGGTTCATGTGAATAATATTAATTTTTCTTCTCCGCTTCTCAAATCAGTAGAGCCAAATAACTCCAGGGATTGTCTTTTCTTGGTTTCGTTTTACATTTTCCGTAAGACGTGCTGCCCTGCAGATGAGGGACTTGCCAAAACCAGAGTTGCCTTCCTTGACCCCCGTCTTCACGTGGAAGAAAAGGAGTGTCTGATTGGCACGGGGGGGCGATTTGGCCTGTTTGCACTCATGTGTCCTCCGCTCTTGCGACGTGGCAGCGCACGGTGTGAGAAGGGGCAATGGGATAGGAAAGAGCTGATGAATTACGGAGAAGATGCGGGAAGGCAGCTTGAAGCTCAAGGCAGCAAGTGCCATCAGCGCAAATTGCCGTTACCCTTCATAAACAGAGCATTATGGTGATAATCCTGACAATTTAATTCAGTGTGAGGGCAAAAGACAGCATGTGTTGGACTGTCACCGATCCTCTTAAGCACTGATAATTTTTGTTTCTTTACCCTGAGTCTTTGTAGCTTTTGACTTGGACCCCACAACTTACCGGGGTTTTGGGTTTTTATTCTTTGCTTAATTTCTAAATCACTTGGATTTTTTGTTGTTGAGGATGAGTGTGTGTTGTGAATTTTTTTTAAATTTGTTTTTTCTTTTTTAAATGAAATTCCCGCTGGGTTTATTGAAATGTAAATACTTCATAAAATATGTATTTCTTAGAAGACAAAGCGTGAGGTGGATCCCCGCAGCCTTCGGCTGGTGTAAGTGAGCAGTGCCTTGCTGATTTACCATAGATGAGGATCTGACCCAGAGTTTTTTCTTGAGCCCCTCCACCCACCTCAGCATGCATGGGAGTAAGTCCAGAAATGTTGAGAGTCGGAAGTAATGAGAGCAGACATGGCTTTGTTCCTGGATGAAAATCCACTTCGGAATTAGGAATGACTGCCTTTGAAACTGGAAATCGCTCGCAATTAATTTTCGCTGGTACCTGAAGCCTCTCCTTGGCTTCCACTGTGGAAAAGCAGTGTTAGCCTTTGCCAAAACGATCTCGCTTTGGCTCTGCTGAGTTCAGTCATTCCCGTTGGGGCTCAAGAGAGCTGCACACCTCGCTCCACAAGTTTCTTTTCGGTCTTTGTGTGGCTTCCTCTACCTAACTGTAGAGGCATATGTGAAGGCACATGCACCCTTGTGTTTTCTGTACATTTCCTCTTCCTTTTTTTTCTTTTTTCTTTTCTCTTTTTTTTCTTTTCTCTTTTTTTTTGTTTTAAAAGGTTAGACTCCAAAATGTTCTGTCTCGGCTCTGAGCGTAACTAACAGATTTTTCTTCAAAGGGAGGAGGCAAGAAGCAGAAGAAAATCAGTGAGGTTCACTCCCCCCCCCCTTACGTCTCTTTTAGTTCCTTCAACTGCAATCTAGCAGCGCCTGCCTCGACAGCTATCAGATAATTTCTTTATCTCCTAACGGCAGCCTAACTAATTTATAAAGGCAAACGCATCACCGTGAAGGCACGAGTCATTTCTCTCCCTTCTCCACAGTTGTGATCACCC